AGTCATAACTCATGTTTGCGATAATTTACCGGTCGCGCGTGGAAAAGGAAGATCAAATTGGACACGCTCGGTCGGTTGCTCTATTCGTGTTGGGTTTAGCTGGCTGGCCGTTTGTCCTTTCTTTGATTCCCCATACTCTCCACGCCGAAATACCACTCCACAGGTCCACCAATCCCCCATGTCTTCTGAGAACCAGGGGTGCCGTTGGCCTGAAGTTCAAGTTGATTCCGGAAGTTCCTCCTCATGCAAGTCAAAGAACCTGCAAAAGATCATTCAAGCATGTCCTCCATTAAGGGGAAGACGGGCCAGATGAGCCCAACCGCCGAGTTTTGTTCTGCATAGCTGCTCAACATTGGGCTATCCCGACCCATCACAGAAATCTGAACCACCCTGAAAAGTCGAAGGGTGGGATAGCTCGGGCAGCGAAGGGATTCCTCTGATCTCTTTGGCGCCAGGAAAAGAGACTGAGAAAGTGTGGTTTCACTTCACGAGCCAAAAATGCAACCCAACATCTTGAGTCTTCTCGGCCTTCCGCCAACACAACGATGCAAGCTTGGCCGCGACGCGGGATGGTCACGACCCGTGACGGCAGGAAGGGTTCCTGAAGGGAAGACGGCCCTTGGGGAGATGAAACATCGCATCTCCCATTCTGAAGTGTCAAAAAGCCCGAACAAGCAATTGACTTCTTGCAAACATGGTGTCAAGACTGGTGTCAAATAGTTTAACTCTGATGAAATCCAGCCAATTCCGGAAAATACCCGAATTTGGTGATGGGATACAAAGATGGGGCTACATCGCTACATCTCTCTCTTTGAGGCAGTCCTTGATAGTCCAACCCCTCTTCAAGGTGAGATTTTGAAGGTGACAGTTTCGTTTCATTCCTCCTACCGGTGGACCTTTGAAGATGTGGACTGGTGGATCACCGTGGTGAAAAATGAACGAACGAAACAAGTTAGCGGGTTCAATCATCCCAAGAAAAGATTGAAACCACCACCACCACCACCACCGCCGCCACCGCCACCACCCAGTTGAGGCAGTTTGCAGTTCTCCCCCAAGGAGCAGTTTGCAGTTCTCCCCATGTGTGCCCACTCGTTCTCTTCGCTGGTTCCACGCGGAGACTAATTAGCGTGATCCAACCGTCGCTTGGGAAAAGGATCATTCGACATGGGGGCAGCCAAGGCTTCAAGGTGACAACCTACAGAGAAGGAGTGTTTGTGTGGACCCATGTAACCTCACACGTCTATCAGTTGATGGTCCTTTCAAGAATGACGGTCCTTTGCCGCAGTCTGACGGTCCGCCGGGGGGAGGTTGATGCGAAGACACATGGTGGTTCTAAACCACCGAAGCGGTGGAACTCCCAGCACACATGAACTGGATGACAATGGATGCGGAGAGACACGAACTGGATGAATATCTACTAAGTTAAGGCTCTAACCACCTGAGGCTGTGCCAGGGTGAGTGCCAGGGTGTCTGTCCCTAATACCTTCTGAGGATGTGGCCAAAGGATGTGATGTTAAAGGTGTAGGGTAGGGCCAGGGAACACGCGATGGCATAGGCCGCGTTATTTGACACTCCGAACACATCAGAAGTGGATGGCATGGGGCGTCGCCGGGCTCTCTGAAAGCTTCGCATGGCTCTCTTCTTCTCATCGTTGCTTCCGAAATCAAGACTTGGGCTGTGTGGTCGTGCGAAAAACTTCCTCAAAGCACGGATCGGCATTCCTGTGAAAGGCTCGGGGCGTTCCGGAAGCTTCATCTCTGGTTTCATCCTCCCCCCCCACACACGAGTAACAAGGCCATTGCTACTAGTAACAAGGCCATTACTACCCGAACGTCGAGCTCCCCGTGGACTGTCGTGGGACCGATCGAGGGCGTCGCTTGCTCATGTCAGGGAAGACTCGATCTTGGGACCTGGGAACCTCTGGAATACCCCTATTCCACCTAGGTCCAGCGCCCGTCGCACCAGGCGGACGAGGTCCAGCTCGTCCGCCCGACCCTTTCCAGCTCCTCCGAGCCTGAAATCCGCGATTCGCGGCACTGCAATCATCCAAGACACTGACAGTGGCTTCAAGTGAAGGTCTGTGAAAGCACCGAAGTGATGCAAGCGCAGTTCCACTCCCCACACCAATTCAACTGCAACATCTACAGCTTTCACTGCTGAGCTGCTGAGTGTGAAAACCCTTAGCGCTTGGCTCTTTTCTAGCTGCCACATGTGGGTCATAACTGCAAGGCTGGGCCGAAGAAAAATCTAGCGGCCATGGAGCAAACCCCGCGATCCCGAGAATGGTTCGACCATGCTCTCGGATATCAAACACTGACTGATTCCCGGGGATGTCAACGTTCCCGGAAGGCTCGTGTCTGAATCAGCTGAAGAATCAGCCAGAACTCCAACTTAATGATTTAGAAGATGTCAGAAGCCTTCGCGACTACTTAGGAGTCGCTGGCAGTCCCTCAAGTGGTGTCATGTGCAAGCGTCACACAAAGTGACTTTAAATCCCTTGGAGCTGGCATTTGCAATAAACTTGGAAATTGGACTCTAGCTCCTGATCTTGCAGGTCTTCTTTCTAATTCCTGGATACAAGAAAGAAAGCCATGCGAAGATTTGCTGCCCTCGAAGCTCTCAGCTCTCACCGTGAAAAGTCCCCTCCACCCAGCTTTTTGAACTGAACCACCAACGAGACCCCGTGCCACCCATGCCGGTGGTGGTCTCAGACCATTTCCTTTTCTGACTCCTCTTGGCTCAGTCAGACCCATTCTGATCAGAACCCGACGTCTTGGGGAGGCGTTGGAGGGCGGAGGATCAGAATGACCTACCATGCTCATGAAGATGTCTGACCAAATCCATGGGGAAAAAAGTCCAGAAAAGCACCTCATGCTGCCATGCCCAGTGGTTTTTTCTCTATTTCACGAAGGATGAGAGTCCTGGATTTGCTGTCCAGGAACCCGGTCAAAACATGGTAAAAACCACCTGCTTCGACTCAACTCACCAGAAAACCGAGACTCATGTAAGGGTCATTTCTGTGGCTGGCTTCACGGCACAGCTCCATGCAGAATGCACACAGCACTTGAAATCAAGCTCGTCGCTTCGACCGATACCTTGGATGCTCCTGGGGGTTTGGGGCCCCGGAGCTCCAAAGCCTTAAGACATAAGACATGTTGCTCCCACCGCACAGAGGAGAGGAGAACGTTCCGGTTTTTCCGGCCCACGCTCCGGAATCCGATGCAGAGGGTTTCATCCCAGCAACTTGGAGGTCGTCCCAGCAGCGAATTGCAAGCACTCTCCCCTGGAAGTGACAAGTGGAAAACACCCTTTTTGTGGAGCACAACGGTCTTCCAAGTCTCCATCCACTTCCATGTTAGTTCCCGGGAGTGTGAACCAAAATGTCGACAGAACTGCAGTTCTGGGCTCATATGTAAATCGCTAGAAGGACCGATATGCCGTAGGGTCACAAGTTCTGAACCCCCCCCCAAACGGGTTCTGGAAAGGGACGAATCAATTTCAGCCTCTTGAGTGGGCTCCCGGTGCGCCAGCGTCGGCGCGTCGGCGATGGTCCTTCGCTGGTCCTCCACCAGTACCGAGGTATACCGAGGTTCCGATAAGTGGATCAATGACTATGCTGCCCAAAATCCCCCCTAATGATGACTGCACCAGTGTCGAGATGGAGCATGTGGGCGCTTGAAATTGTCGTGCAGGCGGCTGCACGGTGGAGAAAGAGAGGGCCCTGCCTGGGTCAAGTGGAAAGTCATGTCTCCACAAACATCCCCCCTATAGAGATCAAATGAGTTCCATCTATGGAAAGTCGCGTCTCCACAAACATCACCCGAGCTGGTGATGAGTTTGTTTGATGGGTAGTTTATGGGGGCCCGTAGAGATCAAATGAGTTGCATCTGCTGGTTACTTGCTCGGAATGATTCTGTCACCCTCACAACTCTTGGCACGAAAGTTTCTGCTGCTTTGCCTGAGGCAAAAAAGGTTGCTGTCCTGAGGACAAGTGCTAAGATGTAAATAAGTCAGAAGTAGTTTCCAACTGCAAAGACAAAACAAGAAAGAAAACAAAAAAGCAGGATGACAACAGATGTGTCAAGGCGAACAGACACATAGAATTTGGCTGTGAAGATGGACCATCCGATCAACTGCTCAGTGATTGTGCTTCTACCGCTCGCAGCGGCCCCCGATTCTGTGGTGTCTTCGAGCCGCCGATGAAAGAACAGCGACCGAACGGGCAATGCTCTGACGGGCAAGTGTAGCGACTGGGACCAAAGAAACAACTGTGGTACACCGGGTGTGAGGATGTCCGTGTTTGCCATGAAATGAGTCAATCCCAGAAATAGTAGCAATCTTTGTGGAATCGTATCAAAAGCAGCTTGGTCACCCGAAGGATTCTCATCAACTCGTCAAAAAGAAGGCATCATAGCAAAAAAGGCCACATCGACTTGAACATGTTCGTGTGCGATCTGGATACGTATTTAGCAACTTGAACCGTCCATGTCAATCCATTTCAACCGTCCAGCAAATCAAGCCGATAAGAAGACTTCTTCGCTCCTTTCAGGTGAATTCTGGAAGCTATGGCTGTCTTTTTGTGGGTCAAGCAAAAAAAAAGAGTTCATGTGAGACTCAGCATTGTGAGTAAGGATTGACCGGATTGACCAGTTCTTCTCAAGCCAATCTCTAATTTTGGTTTTCGACAATCTTTGACTGCCAGATGTCCAATGTCATCAGGACATATCACCCATATTTAAACTTGAACAGTGCTGTGTGCGTTTTTCAGCTAATGATGACGTTGTTCTGCCTGCAAGAACGAGGTGATAACCATCTATACTCCACGAAGGACATATTAACGAAAAGTAAGGCAAAAACAGGGCATTCAAGAACTTGCACGTTCCAAAAATAATTACACAGTGTTGTTCGAATCTTTGGCGCTCCTGGGCATCCGCTCATCACTTAAAAACGAACCTCCTTTGAGCTCATCACCATCTCATCACCTTCAGAACCACCAGCATTCGGAAAGAAACCCGTCGGACAAAATGTTCAGTCGCTGACCTTCAGTCAGTCTATTTTCCGGCATCCACTGGGACACTCCGGATTGTGGTGCACAAGAAACTTCACTCAGGGAACTGGACAGCGTGCAGTTTGACGCCGAGCGGAGGGGCCTGGGCGCCGACCCGGGTGCTTCAAGGGCGCGTCCAACGGTGACATCTTGGCGTCCCGTCGGACGGTGTGCCAACGGACATGGGAAAAAAAACACCGAACAAAGTTGGAGGCCTCCGCTCTTCGGTTGGAGGCCTCCACTCTTAGGTTGGAGGCCGTCGTTCGTAGGTTGGAGGCCGTCGTTCGTAGGTTGGAGGACATCGCAGGCTAGTTGTTTGGAGGTACAGACGACTGTCAAGTGGTGCGAAAAACTGTGGAAGAAAAGTACCATGAAGATGTGAGAAGAGAGGAAAGCACACCAAGTGTAGGAGAGAGAAAAAAAATACTGATGAAGATCAAAGATCAGCAGGATGGACGTCACATGAATGTGCGGCAGGCTGACTGACAGGTGTCTTCCTCCCCGTAAAAACGAAGAAGAGTCAAGAGAGAATGCAGCTTTTGGCGCTCAAGAAGAAAACAAGGAGCCAAATAAAATTGAGCCAAACGTGGGCAGGTAGGACAGAAAAATCGTTCGTTAAAGTTCAACGGGTCCAAAAAAACAAACAAAACCTCGAGCGTAGGGTGACACGGTACAAGAACGGTAGGGTTGACGTGCCAAACACGAATCTAAAGCTGAGCCAAAGGCGATACTGCAAGTGCTTTTTGACACGAACAAGGTGCGTCTCTCCTGGGTAGTTTGCAGTTGTTACAGTAAGCCTTGGTAGGGCTTGGTAGGTAACAACACCTTGGGCTGTGTTGGGTACAGTAAGTAGGCACGTGTCCGCAGGCTTCGTGGTTTCTGCCCCTTCCCTTCCTTCAGTCCTTCCGTCCTTGCGTCCTTCCCTTCTTCCTTTCTCTCTTCCGTGCCCCTGTATACTCGTTGTTTGATTTCGGTTGTTTTTGTTGGACCCCTTGGTGCTTTCTATTATTGTTACATACAGGCAACGTTTGCTCACGATCGATCGGCGATCGGCCAGCAACAAGTCATGTTGGAATCCTCAAACAGGCTTAGCCTGGCTCCCTCAATGTCACGCGTTACACCTTCTTTCAATCTACTCAAACATCTTCTCAGTTGAAGATATTGACTTCAGCAGACCATGGCACAACCCACTTGCCCTTCTTGCACAAGAAAACTTCAGTCATCACATTGACATCTACCCAGACTTCTGCCAGACTTCAGACCCCCCCCCCCCCAGACTTCCGTTTCACCGAGTCCTCGGCTCTTTCTTGAACTTGACGCCAAAAAAGACCGACTCCAGCGCCATGCGCAACGCTCGCCCTGGACCACGGGACCGGACGTGGGCGTTCATTGGCGTTCCAAGAGGCCTCCTTTTTTGAGTGCTTGAACAGCGGCGTCCAATGTCCAATTGGACGTTTACAAGGTTGAATCTAGAAGTATATATACGCACCGATCAAGTAAATATGAATCTATGATTAGAAGATTCTAATCAAATCATTCACCAACAACCCCCCTCAGGGAACATTGATCCGACATGGTTCACACTCATCTTGCTGACCTTCTTCAAATGAAACTGTCAGAACCCATATAGAAGATCTCAATCAGACAAACCATCCTTCCCCACCTCCTCTTGCTTGGGGAGCAATCATCCCAGATGGTGGAAAAGCATCATATCATATCATATCATATCATACAGTGCTCCCCAAATAGATGTTGAATACGTTTTGAAATTGATTTTACTGTTCTATCTATTTGGGGGTCTATATATGCGCTTTAGCGGGTTTTGGTTGCCTTGCTGGTGTTACTGTGCTCCACCAGCACAAGCTGCTCCTCAAAGGAACGTGGTTCTCAAACGGCTTTCTCCAAAAAGGCATGCCATTGCCACAGGCTGGCTGCGCAAAAGAGCACCTTTGATACTGGCACTTCAGGGTTCTCATCCACATAAGGCAATGTAGCGTATGGAATGCTCTTCAGATCTCTGTCGTCAGGAAGTGTTGCACACTGACAAGGCAGCAGAGCCCGCCCATGTTTGGTCAAGCTTTTCTATGCCCAATGACTTCCACCTTTGGGCAATGTAGTCGCACTTTGCAGAGCTCGACTCGGATCACTCAAGGACATCCCAATCAGCCTGGCTTATATGGTTTTACACGTGCGCCTGACATGCCCCAGATCCAAGTTGAATCGTTGTCGCTAAGGATGACCTGGTAAAGGTCATCCTTTTCCGGCTGCAAAGTATCAACATTGCGCTTCCCCCCCCGGAGCACTTCCAAGAGAATGTTGCTCCTTGGACTCTTCTTGGCCTTCACTCTTGCCTTCACCAAGAATCAGAGCACTCCTGGATTTGATCAAGCCACTGACAAGCCTGAAGCAGCTTCTCCTTCAAGTCATGAGCATTCATCGCAAGTGGCCACTTCCCCTGCCCCCAAAGCATGCAAACACAATGTTATACAGTCTCAAATGGCTGGAAAGTCATCCACGTGAAGCTATGACATTGGTCTAGCATCAATGGCATTGTAATAAGAAGCAACAGACATGTCCAGGTCAATGCTTGCCAAACAATAACGGCTGGCTTATTGCAAATTAGCAAGCACTGCAGTAAACAATGTAATCTGCAACTGGTTGGTCAAAGCTGGTGACATTTTGAAGCAAAAGAAACTCACTAGAGAAAAGACCTGCTTCTGACATATAAACACATTTCAGATAGAATGTGCAAGGCACACACTCTAATTGCATTGATTACAAAATCAAAGCCTATAAATTGCACCTCAATTGGAACTTTGAGTCCTCCAACCCTCTGACATTTTTGGGATGGTAAGGAAATGGGGATTGCTCAGACCTTCTTGATCTGGAAGGAGGGTGCGATGTGTTTGCCTCCGCCTCCCCCCCTGCAGGGAAGAGAAAATCGGAGGCAGTGAGCCAGGGAGACTACATAAGCAAACACACAATACCTTCATAACTCCTGGACTTTGCTTGAATATCACCTCAAGTTAGAAAAACACCACACTGAGAAGCTGAGGCCTGTAGTGTATACCTTTCTGTCAACAAAAGAGACACAGGAGAAAACAAGAAAGTGCGTGTCCGTTACGGATCCTTTCTTCAAAGGGTGTTCTTCACAGGATTGAACATGTTCCAAACCTCCGGATTTAAAAAAGATCTAAGCAGATCGGAGCAACTGGAAGGCACACTATGCCCAATTCACAGGTTGCTGTGGGTTGCCTGTGTCGGGTCAGCCGTGTGCTTGTGGGTCAGGCTGAACTCGTGCTTATGAGATCTTATGAGTAGTTTTGGAGACGAGACTGAACCGGTTGATGGATGCTGAGGGAATAAAGGGCTCCGGACTCACATCCACGTTGAGGTTGACGATGTGCGTGGTGTCTAAACCTTTTTGGTCTCCGGGTTGGTTTCATGAAGACAAGCCAGTGGATGATGACGGCTATACTTTGGTACATCATATTAGCAGTAAAAGTGGATGATGATGGTTAGGTTGCAGGCCTTTCTCTAAAACAGTGATCTCGATACTTGTTTACAGACTTACTGAGTCTTTTACAGGTAGTGGGACTGATCCAAGCTATACGTTCTTCATGTTCTGCAGTCGGAAAGATCTGTGTGCCGGAAAGATCGTGCGAAAGTGATCTGACTGGCTCAGACGAAAGTGATCTGACTGGCCTTTGGAAAGACTATGTACCAGGACCCCCAGTCTGGGTGGTTTTTCTGGACACCCCGACTCACAGCTGTTTGGGGCTATAAATAGATGCCCCTTGAAAGACCACATATTCATTGTCCTTTCACGTTCTGGTGAGGAGCGTGAAGTTTTTGACCATTAATCGTGGGAAAGGGACGAACCCAACCACCCCAATCCTCAGAAATGCTCAACTGGGCACACTTCTGTCCCCACGAGAAACCTTCTGGCCTCACTCCGCCAACCATGGCAGCTCGAGAATCTGCGAGGCTGTGGGGCGCTTCAACTCCTCCACGCACAAGCACTGGCGCACCGTATCTTTGCCTCGTGCATCAGAGCATTGACAGCCCCCAGATCTAAAGGAATTTGTATGAAGACTTTGGCAGAACCCGCAAGCAAATTCGATCCAAATCGTTGCAATCACTCCATGAATCTATTGTCGCCTGGTTTTGATGTTGCAATTCCAGTGGATGCAGTCCACTAAAGGAGATGTGGATTTCTCAATTCATCCAGAAAATGACCCTGGACGCTTGGACTTGTATCATCTTGTACCAACATGGAATTGGCTGAGTGCGTTCATTCATGGCTACCTCAAAATCCTATCCAAACACAAGACTGATCTCAAAACTTTTGACACTGGAGAAACCAATTCCTGAGCGAAGGACTGCCCCAAACCAACCATGGACATGTATATTAGACTGGGGAGGTCCCCCAAAAGTCGGCTTTGAAACACTTGGTCCCAGGGGCCAGCATCACTGATGTGGCTCCAGCTAGACCAGCGGATAGGATTCCGCCGCATCGTGGCTGCAAAGTGCTCCAAGGAATCCGTCATGCGATGAGGCAGGCGGCCAGCGACCATGACATGCAAGCACAGCCCGGCACCCCAAATGTCTTGCCTCACAAACACACGGAAGTAAGAGTGCGCAAGCAAATCTCAGCCATTCAAATCGATCTTGGAGAAAACCAGAGGCAACATGACAACAAATCAGCACATCCAGAAAATCAGCACCTTTCCGCCACCATCCAGTACGCCTAACATACAGTATATCTTTCTGCCCTCTATCCCTGAAGAAGACCAACCCAACACATCCAAATCCTCGCCGTGTGGCCCATGTGATGGGGAGAAGCCATCGAGCACTTCGGGGGCGGAGTACTGCAACGTGCCCGTCATCGTCAGAGCGCCACCCTCTTGCAGATCCTCTGTTCCCACATCCATCTTTGGGTGGCAAGTGGAGTCTGCTTGTTGGCCAAACGCATGAAGAACCAAGACGCTGTTGACTATTGAGGGCACCTACAAGTATCATAAGGGCACCGTTCGATCTCCCCACCGGCCCAAACAAGGACCACACGCGGTCCAGCCACCCCCGAGCTACTACGCTCCCCGGAGGATCGTCTCCAGGACCGGTGGCAGTGGTGAGGGGCGGGTGACCCCAGAGGCGGTTGACCTTGGAGCCTCTTCCAGGAGACGGGGCCCGGAACGTTCTGGGGATTTGGGTTCTGGTTCTGGTGGGTCGAGCAAGTAGCTGAAGAGAGCTGAAGAATGCTGGCATCAAAGTGTCTGAACGAACCACTGCGGCAAACGATTGACCGGATTCAACTAGCAAACTGACTGACAGATTGACTGACTGCAAAACAAGTGAAGTGTCTGGCAGGTGGTCTTCAACCCATCACAAACATCCAGTTGGACAAAACATCCCCGACCATATTATCACAAAGGAGTGTTCCCTAAACCATGGCTGTCATCTGAGGTCTCCTGTTGTCTCATCCCCAGATCCACTGACGAGTCGGTTTGAAAGGGGGTAATTACTTGGACCAGACTGAGCGAAGGTCGCTTGTCTATCATAAATCGTTTCAAAAAGTATCAACTTCCTCCCACGTTCCTTCACTGAAGAATGCACCCAATGCTGGCACCACGAAGCCGGCACGCTCCATCTGAAAATCGTCCGGTCAAAGTCCTCCAACTGTGGCAGTCCTTGGCCACATTGAAGTCTGCCAAGTGAAGATCTTGATGATCCATGGCAATGATGATATTTTCCGCCTTGATGTCCTCCAAAAAGCGCCCACCGAAGCATCCGAGAAAGGGCAGCACAAGTGCAGCCGGGAGTGGGGGGAGGCGTCCCTTCTAATTATGGACAAACTCTCCTTTCAAAGACCAGATTCTTGCTGGAGTCGGCAGCCCGCTTTCTGGGAGACTTGGGATTGCTCAGTGTCCTGTGTCCTCTGTTCCGAGGACAGTGCTTTGACCCCCACAAGATGTGCGAACACCCTGTGCTACGAACACAGAAGCCTGGCATTGCAAGAGTCCAACAGTAACAGCATGTAACAGCCATCGTTTCAGACAGCCTTTTGGCTAGTCAAACACCTATCATCCTGCATTGAAAGATCAAGATTGAACACAACACACAACCAATCGCTCAGATGGTGTCCACGATCAGTTCATTTTCGCCAGAAAATGGGCAGTATCTACTTGCTCAGCATCTAGAAGGTTGGTGGGACGTTGCTCTAGACACTAAACCATGCTCTTCATGTGTGTAATTGCCCAAAATGATTTGCACAGAGCAAACAGGTTTGGCCTTCGGTGCTACACCATCCCTTTGGGGCGTGCGAACGGGCTCGCCGCGCTCTCGGGCGCCCGAACATCCCGATGGGCTACAGCCGAGCATCCCGATGGACCACATGGTGGTCGTGCAAGTACTTGATCGCAGACATCAGCATAAAGAAAAGCTTTTGAGCCACCTCTTCTCCGAAACATCTCTCTGGCAATGACTTTACCATCACGTCCTCAGTTTGGACACAAAAGGCATTCCCTTGTCAAAGCTTATGACCTCCACGCAATCCGTGTCGAACTGCCAACCACAGTTCCACAGTCGTGTAAGACACCTTCGATCGGTCCCTTTCCTCTGGTCATACATGCCAAATAATTGCCCATGACAGGCAACAGTGGATGATGATTGTTAGTAAAGGGCTTGTTCGATAATAGTGATATATAGTGATAATCGTTTGTCAACTGTTACTGGCTTGCTGGGACAGACCCTATGTAGACGATTGATAAGTAAAAGCTCCATTAAAGAAACACAATGACCATTCCGGACACAGAACCTTGATTCATCAACAGTCTACAGTCTACACAAGCTGCACAAAAACAAGAAAAATGCGCCCTAAGAGTCGCCGGTGAGCGCCATGCTTCACCTCCAGGACTCCATGCCCATTCCCCGGGAAGCCACATCACCCCACGCCTGGCCTTGGTTAGACTTCATGACAAACCTGCCTTTGAGGGCACGTGACATTGCCTCACCACTGGACACCCATGCCTTGCCTTCACTCCCAGCGCCTTGCCTCCACTGCTAGCGCCTTGCCTTCACTCCCAGCGCCTTGCCTTGACTCCCGGCCATTCATGACAGTGGAGGGCACCTTCAGCCCAGTCTGGCTCCACCCCCATGCAGCCAGACGGAAAGGGTATTGAGAAAAAGAGACAACACGCGATCCCCTCCGAGATTGGCACGCAAATGCCACCGAATGGCTACCCACGGCCACTCACTGGTACTCCGCACGAGCGTGTTTGGCTTGTTTGTTGTTTTGTTTTTTTCCGATTCACCAGTGGGAGGCGACCCCTTCGCACACCAGTCCGTCCAATCCGTCCATTGCCCACGTCGACGCCCTGTCTGCTGGGACCCACCCATGCCATGACTAGACACCAAGCTGGTTCGACGATGCCAGTATAGCCTGGATCGACTGGATGGACTGAGCAGGCATCATTTGCACCTTTTTGGGGCTCAGGTTGGTAATCCTACGCCCCGTGGCGTCTTTTGGAGCTACTCCTTGGAGAATCAAGCACCACTGTCATCTTGGAGCAGACCTTTCAGACCGCCAGATGCAACCTTCCACTGAGTGCGCGCGGATGAGTGCTGTCGACCAGTCGACCAATCCGCATCAACGGCGGTGCGCACACCCAGCGCGGTAGGTCTTCTTCGACTATACGAGCTGCAACGCTTGCTGGCTGACAACTGAGCTGATGACTTCTGAGATGATCCTTTTTAAGGTCATTATACTACGTACTATACTGTCTCTTGTGCTACACGTAGCCATCATGCTCGGGGATGAAAGCAGCCAGACTGCCATCCATAGTGGTCTTAATCCCTTCGCTAAGAAGACCCCTTGTTGCATACACAAGAACAGCCTGCATATTATGCATCATACATACATTTCTTTGGAGGATGCCTTGGTCCAGGGCAGGTCTTCAAAACCAGAGTTTCGGTATTTGACAGGAGCGACCAGCGTCCAACTGACCAACTGTGGGGAGACCCAACACGAGCACGCGTCAAAAAAGCGGCGCAATCCCCAACGATGGCTCTGACTCCGGGCGTCCAGAGTGCTCCCAGGGTGGTAGCTCAAAATCATGGCCACCTTCCTAGCACGTAGCCGGCGGAAAGTCACGACCCGTACCGAGTCCGGCTCCAATCCTTGTCCGCATCAGTCACCTCAAAGCAAGAGAAACCTGAACCGGTGTCCTTCCGAGCTCCTAAATGATTCCAAAACAGTCAGGTTCAGGTCATTGGGGTCATAGCTTCAACTCAAAATCAAAAACGGGATAGCTCTTGAAGCGAGGCTGGCAATGGCCGCCACAACAATGGCCGCATCAAATCTCTGGAGAGTTCTCCACTGCATGGTTTCTGAAGACCCAGGGGTAAGTGAGGCTTTCCTATCATTGTCTGGCTTCTATTGTGATCTGAAAGTTCCAGACATCACCAGAACATGATTTTGTTGAAGCTTATGCCGGTGTTGCCGGACTGGAATCCAATTCCAGACCCAGCACAGTGGCATGGGAGCCCACCCCGAACGCGTGAAAGGGAAGTTGGAATGCTAGGCAGTGTTGTTGTTGTGTGAAATCACTGGAAATCACTGAAACTTCACCATCCCTATCGGGAAAGATGGAGTTCGGCCAAAATGACTCTCATGTTCCACCAGTTTCAGACCAAGGATCAATTCACATTCAATAAAGTCCCAGGCATAGACCAAGTTTGGATGATTCAGCCTGGCTGGAACGACCCACAACGGCGACCCGTGGGCGTCGGCGTAGACGCCCCGCCCCGCCCCCCATCGAAAATCGGTGCTCAAGGATCGTTTGAAACATGAGCACATTTATATATAGTATTATATCATTATATAATATAGTAGATACTGCACCGGTACGTCTCACACGTCTTTTGGGTTCCAATATTCCAAAAGTCTGGTGCAAAGCACGCAAAGCAAGCCTTGGTGCTGACCTCGCTCGCCGCAATCGCTCTCTCGATGGGTCTTACCAAATGGGTGTTCAGGAGAAGTTCACCCAAAAAGCTGTCCCATGGACCCCAAGAAGACCTCTTTTCCTCTACCGGCAGCCAGAGACTGAGGGTTCAGACAACAGGACCGGTGGTTTCCGTCGGTTTCCTGCCGAGGTTCCGCCAAGGGTGCTTTGGATGGGTCAAAGTAGGTGAATTCCAGTCCCATGGAGTGTGAAAAAGCAAATCCACCAAGACCTAAACCTACAAGTATTGGTGAAGAAGGAGAAAGAGAGAGAGAGAGAGAGAGACCAAGGACCCAGTGATTGTTCCCAAAAGGCTTGGCAAGTGAGGCGTTCCTTGAAATCAAAGGTCCTTGAGATGGCGCTTGGAATGGTGGAAGGGATCTAAAAAACAGAGCCCATGCCCCAAGTTCGAGTTAGATATTCTTTCTTGCATGTCCGAAAGTGTTCTTCCAAGAAAGTGTTTTCCTAAGGGCAATTGTCAACTTCCGTGATTCTTTGGACGGTAGTAGTATAGTAGTATAGTAGTCTGTATGTTCAGTCTGGGTGCTGTGAATTGGCCCTCAGATAAATCCCCTGATTCTCTTTCACCATTCTTTGACCCTGTTGAGATCAAACCAATCAGCTGATGAGGTGCTTCATCGACCGTTCCGACTCACCCCGTTTGCGGGGCCACGGTCCGTCTCCGGGTGCCGCGGGTGGCCTGTTCAGGATCTCAAACTCCCGCCGCCGCTCACGGACCTGGAGGTCGTAAGCAAAAGAGGAAGAAACCAACAGGAAACTGGTTGAGGCAGCAGAAGCTCCTACTCTCTCTGTAGGTACCTTCTGCCTTCTGGTTCGACTTAGGACCTGGTTTCTGGAGTTCCCACCCACCGGAAACGCCTCGTTTCGCATCGTTTCGCGGAGGTCCGAGCAGAAGGGAGGATCACTCACCACCAACAGAGGTTGAAGAACCCGATAGTAAGGCTATGCCCTAATGAGGTACCCTGGTAGGGTCCTAGTTCAGCTCACTTAACCTCTGTTGGCAGTTCGTGAGTCAGAGTTTTGCAAACGACTGTCGCGGCAAACGACTTTGAGTGGATGCCGCGTAAGGGAGCCGCACGAGCCGAAAGTTACACGGGGCTCCACAGAAGAGCAACAAACACGTCCAATTATTCAAGGCAGGGTGTGAGACGGGCATTGTCACACCATGTTTGTCGCTCATCATGGCCCCGGATGTTTTCACCACGCGCGCCTTCCCGGGTCCCACATGTACCTGGGGGAAAAGGTTGCAATCATTGTGTTTGTCTGACCAGTGTAGAGCGAAGTGATGGGGTTCATTTGGGGCTCGCAAGTGGAAACAGGGTACGAGGAAGGAATTTCGAACAATCTCCTGCCACCACCCAAAGGGTAACAAAAAAAAACCTGTGTCCATGTGTTGGGACCTTATTTTCAATTATGTTCATCCACTGCTGGTGCAGCTCAAGATCATGGTAACGTGCGACATGTTTGGCATCTGCACATCTTACAGTAAGCGACATCTCCCAAAAAGGGGACCGAAAACCTCTATACATATCAGCCACTTCCTGGAACAATCACCACCAAACTCCTCACCCCGATCTCCTCACCCCGCGTCTTCTCCAGTGTCCAAACCCGATCCTCCCGGGTTGGCCGCCTGCTGTTCATCCCTGGCGTCCATGGCCTTGACCGCCACGTCCAATCCGTCGGACAACCTCCACCGGTCAGAAGGCGGGACGTCCGGTCCAGTCCTCCACGGTGTCTGAACATGCAAGAACCATCGCCGTGGGCGTGCAGGAGTGTCTTGTACGACATTGACCCATTGTCCTCAACATGCCTCAACCATGAACAACATTGAGAAAGGCGGCAGTCATCGGGCATCGTCGAAAAGTCCATGTCCGGAGGATCCGGAGGATCCAGAGATTCACAGAATACATCTATCGAGGTATGTCTATACCTATGCCATGGTTTCCTGCATTCTCTCTCTCTCTCTCTCTCTCTCTGTCCCTCTCCCACATCTTCTCTCACGTCCATCATCATCCATCCCCTACTCTAACTATTTAACTATGGCAAAACCTGGGTCCCAACTGTTGAAGGCCCTGTGTCCGTGTCCAGTCATCCATTTCGGAAATCATCTCTCCAAAATCCATCAAAATCCACCCAACATGGGAGGAATCCACCTGTCTTCCGGCCCGGAATAGACCGAAAGGTCCAAAGTCTGATCAGGGGCCAAGATGTCTATCCGCCAAACCTGAAAGCTGTTCAGTTTGCGATCCTTCTTTCGGGACTGGACGAGCCTTTCATTTGGTGGATGGAAAAAGGGTTTCAACTGCCCTAAGAATCGAGGACCCTCGGCCGGTGAAGGTTTGGTTCGTGTCCAAACCCCTGCGAACAGCAGGGTCCAAACCCTCCAGAAGTGGTCGGCTGAAGTGGTCGGGGGGCCACACGTCGCCCTCACCTGGCCTTGTCGTCGAGCCCAGACCCTCGTAGGTGCGGTGCCTCAACCGGCCTCGAAGTACGTACCAACCCCCCCAAAAAAAAAGAAGCATGTGTCGAGGTCTCGCCTGCCAGGCCGCGACACATGGCCCATGCCAGCTGTATCTCTGACATGTTGAAACGAATGCGTTCGCACCTGCCCCGGCAATGGACCCCCCAACCCCCCAGACGTCGCCCCGAAAGCGCTGTTTTCGCCCCGGAGCGGTTTTCGCGTCGCCTGGTGGCTCGTAAGACTTTGCCGACGGATCCTTTCCCCAGGACTTCCACCATCTCATAACCTGGCCGGTCCGCGAAGTCGAAGGTCCCACCATCCAAAAAAGCATCTGGATTGGCATGGCAAGGAGTGAGTCCGGGACATCCAGAATCGGAGAATTTGTTTGACCTCTCTGAACTGGGCGTCGAAAAACGAAAACAGACCATCTGAGCGAGGAAGGAAAGAAGTGCAGCAGGACCTGAAACCAAAACACTCGAGAACACCGGCGTGGCCTGTGTTCTCGACATGAAAACCGTGCTTTCGGAGAAGTCTTCAGCAAGTTATCTTGGCTGATGCACCGCCAATCAGAGGTTTTGCAATTGATGCAAGGTTTCAGGTTTAGGAAGTATCCCCGTGTGAATTCACCGGGTGACTTTGGACAATGCATGTAAAAATTGTAGCAGGATGTAGTAGGGACTGAGGTTTGGGGTCTAGAAAATGAGGGGGGCTCCAGTTTCAGGTCTAGAAAATGATGGGGGTGCAAATTTCCAGCAAGGTGAGATGTTGCTACAAAATGCAGTGGAAACTGCGAGTGGCCAAGTATGAAAAACACACAAGTCCCATTAGAAAATGCCTGGGCTAAAGTCTATCTCACACGGTTTTACCGCTTGTGGGCTACGTCATCGAATGCGGAGTCAGTCTACTATTGCAAACACACTACTACTACTACTACTACTATTACTACTACTACTATTACTACTACTACTACTACTACTACTACTACTACTACTACTACTACTCCTACTCCTACTCCTACTCCTACTACTACTACTACTACTACTACTACTCCTACTCCTACTACTACTACTCCTCCTCCTACTACTACTACTACAACTACATACCTTGCCATGTCATTCTTGCCATGAATCATGGCTTGGCTGGCCAAAATGGCTGGGCTGCCCAAAAAGTCAAATTACTGTGGAATGGCTGCCCAAAAGATTTCACTACAGAATGCCTTTTGATTGCGGTCTCAGGGCCTGTCATTCTCTAGTGGAAATTCCATCGGGGATGGCGGAACGTGAAGCAAGTGCCGGTTGCACGAGGTGGTGCACCCGTGCTGCACGTGGCGAATACTGAGATGGCTGTGGCACGTCACGAAAACTTCAGTCTTCGGAGAAGAAGATTTCCCTTGTGTAAGGCGGTTCATCATTGTTCATCGTAGTACCGCGCATTGAATGCCCAGTGGTGGAGGCAGCGGCAATCTCCTGAAACCTGAACATGTTCGATGGCATCTCATCTTCATACTCCTGGAAATGATGACGACAACGCCCATGGCTCTTCATATGGCATATAGTGCTCAATCCTTCTAGCAACTTCGGAATGAAGATCGTAACAGTCCAGGTGCAAACTCCCTTTGCCGCATTCTTCGCGATAGAAGGAGAAACTGCTTTCAGCTGTGAACTTGTTTGCCAAGTAGAACAGATCTTTACAGTACCTGTCAAAAGCTTCAGCGTGACGTAATTTTCACGCTCCATCTCTCCAACCAAAAAAAACGATGCAATGCAGAAGATCATCCCACAAGATGCCGCTAGAACCTTTTGCCTCTTTGCACTTCACAAGTCTGCGCACGATCTGCGCAAACAAGAGCGCAATACGGATCTCCGTTTTTGTTGATTTGCTTGAACAACAGATGCAAGAAGGCTTTGGTGCCTGAACTGTACAGAGCAACTGATCAGTCCTGCTTCATTGCTGAAGCGCAGGTTCATCACACGAATCTTGGCGAAGGTATGCGAAGGCCAAGTTCTTCTAGTTGGATTATACCCTAGGGCTCCTGGCCCACCTCCGTTTCGAAGGTGGTTGGAGTGGGTTTAGGGGGTCTAACCACCTTCTGAGGAGATGGTTGGAGCCCTAGGGAGTTATACTAAGATATACTAACTACCCCCTCCCACTGGCCGTTGCCATCCTTCCGCCCGGCCTGGAAGCCAATGGGGTGCTTCCACATTCCTCGGCTCGTTCGACGGAGTCGGACGTTGGGAAGGAGGTTGGGAAGGACCCGGAGGTCGTCCGACCAACAAACGTCCGGTTGATCCGGTTCACGTATCGAAGATGGTGAATGATGTAAATTAAAGTAAGATGAAACACTTCTTGGATGTTCACGACGGGTCCTGGGTCCTGGACTGGTGACGCGCTCCCCAAAACTCCTCCCTACTGCGCTGAGACCGTCAGAACGGCCAGGTCCGACAGATCTCCACGAAGCCACCGCCGCACCGAGTGAAGGTCCCAAAGGTCCCCCCCCTTCGTTCGACCCCCGGTGTGCCGCGCAGCCCACCGGTGAGCCACCACCGCGCCGCCGGTGAGACGCGCCGCGCCGCGCCGCGCCTGCTGACTTGACGGCTCCAACTGCTCACAAGCTCGGTGCAGGTGGTCGAGCAACTGAGCATCTTCTCCACGGAGGAGTCCTGGTGGGTCTCCGTCGCAGGCGTCGCAGGCTTTGTGGTGACGGAGGGAACAGGTGGTCCGAAGGATCGGGAAAGAGTTCGAGTGGAAGGATTTGACTTGAAGAGTATTCTTGATCTATAGGGGTACATGAATGTAAGGAGACGAATCTATGAGGATAAAAGCATTTGAGTTACGTAGGCATTTGGAGGGGGACAAAAAAAGGCTGGACCAGAACGCCCCAAAAAACTGCCCAAGCATCCAAACCACTGTTGAACCGCTTGGTTGTGACGATCAATTATATGTAGATCACTAGGAGCAAATAACATTTGCTTAGATTGCTCTTACGTTGGCGGCCATCGCTACTATAGGTTGTTATTTGGTTGTAACATGTGCTTAGATTGCTCAACAGTCTGAACTGCCGAACAAAAAATGATGCATGAATCTCCACTTCCACCCTCCAGCCCCTCATGGCCCTTCCTTCCTTCGATCTGCTTCCAGTATGGGCCCCAAACAAGTATATAATCCCCTCATATCCCCTCCAGGGCGCCTGATCGTTCGCATGCGCTAGCATGCGCTAGCATGCTAGCAGCATTCACAGTACCACCACCTCTCTCCCCTCCCCCAGTCCAACTCCAACTCCGGCGTCGCGGAGCCATCTTCCACCACGGACGACGACGTCAGCGACCTGCGGTTTCCGGCGGACGGGCGGATGCCGACGTTGGAAGGGCGGCCCGGTGTCACTTGACAGGTAGGAGTCAGTGGGGTCATTTTCATCCCAAGATTGCAGGTAGAACCTCAAGAGATCTGGCACCACCTCCCAGAGGAAGTACTTTAGAGTATAGAAGCACGTAGAATCCACAGGGGTGCGGTTCACTGTTCGAAAGATTTAGTCACTCTATCACATGGGATAGTGGATAACCCTCCTGACATCTTCTGGCGTATATGGTCGTTGGACATGACAAGGCCTTCAAGGGGCACTGCATATTGGGGACAGGGATGAGGACAATGCTCTAAATCGATGTACTACTACTTTCCTCGACAGAATCCTGACAAACCTGAGCCCTAGCCTTCAAAGACCATTAAAAGAACGGTTGAGCTGGTGGTGTAGTGAAAAACATCCTTAATTAGTAAAACAATGGTTCTGTGGGAAAGACCATTGAAACAATGGTTGTTTGAATCCTAGGGTGAGTGTATACTCGAAAAAGGTCGAACTGGGCTCAAGCAAAACACTCTAGGATTCGCTAGACAGCTGTGAAAATCATTGCAGGTATTGGCCTAATGCGCCTACGAGCTTCGACGTCCCCTTCCGTCTTAAATCTGTGGCAGCTCGCTTTCACCAACCAAATTCCTTGATCTAGTAAGCAAACCCAACTGCTGTGTTTGGCTTCAAAATCACCCAACATGAAAGCCTTCTGGTTGGGTGAAACCAGCGAGAAGTCAGAATAGGATACCGTTGAACAGCCCCCAAAACAAACGTGTTTGGGCCTCCGTTTTGGATGTGGAAAGGCCCCCGGTCAGTTGTAACGAAGGGCATGGCCTCTCCCTCAATACTGGCCAATGACCGCTTCTTTGGCTTCTTTTCCTCTCCCTCCCTCCCTCCCTCCCTCGCTCTCTCTCTCTCTCTCTCTCCTTTTGTTTGTTTGTGTTATTTCAGTTATATCCGTTATATCATGTTATATCCATATTATGTTCTAGTGGCTAGACCACCTCGAAACTCCAAACATCCACTTTGTCCCTTCTTCCGTGCGCCCGAAACAACCACTTCGTTGCCCCGCCTGGGTGGGACTTGCAGCTCTTGCAGAGTTCCTCTTCGTCGCTTCCACAGCGCTGACATGCGAGGCTCGGCGACGTGAGGTTGGTCTTCGGCGGGTCTCGCGCGCGTGGTGCGCGCCCCGCGTGGTTCGTGCTACGGTCGAACGACTTGAGAAGGCATGGCGAGTTGGCCAGGCGCTTGTGCTACGATCTAAGTCCGATGTCTGATATTTCTGTTTTGTGTGTTTCCTGTGCATTGTTATCACTTGGACTTGTGGAACCGGGAACGAAAAACCTCATTCGGAAGGAGATTTGATAGGATTCACCTACCTGGGAAAAAAACGAATGACCCTAAACCAGGAGATTCAACTTAGAAGTGTTGCGTCACTTGGACAGATTCTTGGAAAAGGAAACCCGGGGCCTGGCATCCAAAACACGGTGGGTCAAACCTGGAGCCCCAAACCCTGGTAGGTTGACGATGGTGTTCATTCTTGGTGGTCAACCAGGGTGTCCTGCGTGCCCACAGCCACATGCCGATGCAACATCCGAACTGGCGAAGGTCGGTGGGTTTCGTGCTCGGAGCATCCAGAAAACTCCGCTCGAAGCATCGAAGGTCGCTGGGAGCTCTGCAGACGCGCTTTGTGTCCGATGTTTGTTTGCAGGAGCGACCGCTCCCCGCGGCACACAAACAATGGGAACCACCGTTGATTGGTGTCTGACTGGGACTGGGTTTCAAGGTGAACATGTCTCTTTCAATCTCAGCACAAGCACAAGTCTTGAGTTCAGGCAGTCTAAAGAGCGCCCGTTCCGAAGACCCAGTCTTCGGCCTGCAGGATCCTTCTACTGTCTGGTTCACCAACCCACCAACCCACTACTGACAGTATTACATGCATGCAGACCCCAGTTTGGAACTCCCTCAAGTGAGCAAATGAAAGCTGGTTAAACCAGAAACATTTGAAGGGGGTATGACATCAGAGAAAAGTTCTTCTTTTCTGGTCTCTGAGAAGTTCCCCACCGCATGCTGGTTCATCACTTTCGGAAGCGGCCAAATTGTTCTTGCTTGTTTGATCAGGCTTATGCTGCAGAGCCAAAACCGGGCCCCAACTGCTGCGTGCATGACAGGCTGCAAGTGCATCAAACTGAGCACCAGCAGCAAGAGGCGGCAGGCATTTTGTGGACTCCTTTGTGGCCACGACGACGCCCAGGTTTTGACGACACACGACGACGGGCGGGTGGAGATTGCAGACTGAATGAAACAACAAGACGATAAGAAGAGAAGATGGCTGGACTTCTTGACCTACCAAAGTCTTACGCCCTGGAAGATTAACATAGATCATAGATCGAACCTGAACAACCACTGGTTTGTGGAGGAAGCTAGTCTTCCAAAGGTCCATTTTCAGGTTCCATGTGGGTCTCTTGCCGGGTGTAGATCTTCTGATTCTTATCCATTTCTAGAAGAGGTCAGACCAAGATCCGATTTCACCGGCTTTGGTCATTGAGGTATATGACCCCAAACCATTCTCCGACATGTTCGACCATGTCGTGAACACGACCAGCTCAGCAAGCAGCTCTGGATGGGTCACCCACTTAGCCCGGTGAAGTCAGCGTTGTGACGACCCAGTGCTGGGGGCCATGGGACGGCGCGGTGACCTAACGCCGAACAAAAAGACCCACCCGTTGTGAAAGAGAGGCGCCTCCGTCCCTGCAATCTCCTGTCAAGAAAACCTGCTTGACCATGCTTATCCTGCCTAAATTGGGTCAATAGAGGGTTCCATCCAAGGGTGAATCCTGGTTTTGGAACACAGTGAGATGTTTTGGTCTCGTCCGCCAAGCAATCCTTCAACTTAGTTACCCCGGCCGTCCGCCGAGGCTCACGAGCGGCGCTGGGATGTCATAGTCACCTCACCCATTGTGGCTTCCACGTGGTGACTCTGTGGGATGACCGGAATGTTTGGCACGAAAAGCGCGGATGACATGAACGGCTATGGGATGTGTTGGAAAGAGCTTCTATGTTACAGGAGACACCTGTTCAATGGAGACAGCCACCGGATGCCAGAATATAATCTCCTCTCGAGATTGTCGTCAAGTGGTATCAAGTGGTTTTACGGTCTCCAAGGGGAGACTTCGGAAGACCAAACTCAAAAAAGGTCACAAAAGCCCAGGCCCACTATCAGCCCGGCAAAAACAGTTTCACCTCAGTCTGTCCGCTGAAAGAACCGGCGCGAAAGCGACGGGCCCTCCGATGGCCCTTCCAGAAAGAACGAGCCCTCAACTGGGTGGAACAAGGTCTCTACAACGACAGGTGCCGGTGTCCAGCAATGCTGTCCAATCATCCCTTCTTCCATGGTGTCTACATTGAACAAACCTCGATGGTGTCGACCATGCTTCGTCCGGAGTCCGATCGGTTTCGCGTTTCAAACGGCCTCGCCTTCGCGCGGTCAGCGCTCCTGCGCCCCCCCCGCTCCGTTCTCGCTCCGCCACGGCGTCCCGGGCGACCGGCCACCGAGGCACCCCAGCCCGGGGCGAAGAAGTCCTTCGGCAACGTCGACCTGGATGGTGCGAACCCGACCGGTCGGTCCCCAACCGGGTAACTGGTGTGTGGCCGACCGGTCAGTCCAGGTCCTGGTTCAGAAGGTCGGTCTTGCGGAAATGCATCTTCAGCATCGGAGCGTTGCTGAAGGTAGACAAGCAGGGCGAGGGATCAGTAAAAAAACAAAAATGAATCAAAAAAAACATTACAGTAAAAAACGTAAACGGACCCAAACGTGCAGAGGGAAGAGCAATATTCCATCAACGGGCGGGGGATCAACAAAAAAACATAAATGCATCAAAAAATAAACATATTTCAGTGTGATCAAGAAAAACAAAAATAAACGGACCCAAACGTGCAGAGGGAAGAACAATAACCCATTCGAAGCAGTGATCAAAAGAATTAAAAAAACACAAACAGTAAAATCACATGAAATGAACATGAAAATGAAAGAAAGAAGGAAGAAAGGATGACTGAGTCAATGAACAAATGAAATGAATGAAATGAAAACGCTCAACAATTAAAAGCGGGAGGGGGCGCGGAGGAGGGCGCACCCCTCCCCCGCAATGTAACTTGGCACGACCAAAAAACAAATATCATGGAGTTTCCCCAATGAAACTTCCTTTGATAACTGGAATGGTCTCTGTGCTGGGCAGCTTTGCAACATCGCATTTCAATTTCACAGCCTTCCTTCCTTCCTTCCTTCCTTCCTTCCTTCCATCCCGCTAGCCCTTCCTTCCTTCCTTCCTTGCTTCGTTGCTTCGTTTCTACCTACCTGCCTACCTACCTTCCTTCCTTCCTTCCTCCCGCTAGCCCTTCCTTCCTTCCTTCCTTCCTTGCTTCCTCTTCCTTTCTTGCCTCGTTCCTTCCTTCCTTCTTTCCTTTGCTCGTTTCTTTCTATGTTTTTTTGATGCATTTTTATTTCTTTTTTGATGCATTTGTGTTTATTTATTGATGCATTTTTATTGTTAGTTTGATGCGTCTCCCAGACAAGCAAGGTACCATGAAGCGGCTCCCTGGCCACCACGGGTGGAAAAATCAAACATATGCGTTCGACCCCTGGTTGCACGGCTGCTGTACACCCCCTCCGCCCTTGGCCCAGCGCTTCGCAAGATGTCGCCTGATGACCCTGGTGATAAAGAAATACATGCCTCAGATCATCACGCTGCGCCGGCTTGATGACCAAGAGATTTAGCAAAAATGGGGACTATCTAACATCGCAAAGATGCTTTTGCAGGAAGTTCCGGCTCCTGTCTACTGGTCTACATTTCTGACACCAGTTCGGATTGTGTATCCTACGGTCGAGCCGTGGATATCAAATTGGGCCCCATTTGGGGGAGGCAATTGCCTCCGTGTCACGTTCCGGCGTTCGGCCAAACGTTCCGGTGACCGCAGATGGGGTGGCACCTGCCCTCTTCAGAGCATGCCGAATGCGATAGCACAAATTGAAATGGGGCTGGGGACGTAAAAGATGAAGTTCATCCGTGGATGTTCTTCATGCGGGGGGGGGGGGGGCATCCGGAGACCCGAAGATGCCTCCAGATGCTGTTAATCATTGATATAAGCCAATGTGGCACACCAATCAGAGAACATTAACCCACCCTTTTTGAGCCAATATTAGTGCCCTCCAAATAGTTATCAGATAGTCTTAGTTCTGTTACTGTTCTTGAAGATGAAATACCGTTTGTGTCTATAAAGATTCTTGGACGCACCGCCATTTCTCCAGTTCTCGGCGGTTCGCCGTTCGGACGATTCAGGGCTGACAGCCGGCTGCGGGTCAAGAACCACCAGGAGACCGACTGGGCACGAGCTATCTGGACGGTGAAGAAGCTGCATGGTGGACGGGTCCCGATCCCTAGCTCTGCACAACTGGTCCCTGTAGAACTCCCACATGATGTATGTCCAGTGCCCTAAGTCCATGTTCTCCTCACCCAACCTCCCCCCATCCAGGAACAAACAAGTTGATGATCGACCTTGGTAACATCACATCACTCTCGAAAGCCCCAAGGACAAGTGCACAATCCCATTCATCAGAATCACGATCCATCCAAGTATTCCATCCTTTCTGAGAATGATAACAATCAGCCTCCCACCATGAAGCGGACCCACCGAGCCGGCCCCACGCCCCCACCGTTGCCGCGTTCGCCGGGGCACGGCAGAGGAACCAGGTGACCAGATTCAGCGCGAAGAAGATCTCGGCCAAGAACGTCCCGCTCTTCGCATCCTCGGCGAACATCGTCCGGCACCGAGTCCAACGAGCAACGTGACGACTCAGACGACTTTGTTTCACTCACGAGGGGGGCGGGTGAAGAAAAGAACATCGAGCCAACTTGATTGTATGTCATGAGTCAATGGGCTTTGCTTTGCCTTTTTCTTCAGCCTTTTCAGGAAAGCCAAACCGCTGAGGGGAAAATCTGGGCCACACAAAACAGCGCAGCTGGCATCACAAACAAAAACTCCATCCAAAAAGAACCTATTGGACTCCTATTAAGTTGTTGATCAGATCATAATAGAGCAACGAGATCTTTGGCTAAGACATCCTGTCTGCCACGACCACTGTTGATCACACCTTTGAGTTGGGTACTTACCTGGAACCCCAAACAAACAGAAAGAAATGGATGTTTCCCCAAACAACCATTTCCTATGTAAAGGATTTCAATTGCCATATTGGAACAACCATTTGTTTCTAGTTGTTTG